ATTGTCACTAGCTGATAAACTAACCTTCTCCAAAAGAAATTTTGTGAAAGTCTGTCATTTGGGCATACTCTAAATCTCTGCTTGGATAGTTAGCCTCCTCTAAGACTTGATTTTCAGTGTATAAATTGATGAATTCTAGCAGAGTCTGCAGTAATTTATATTACTTTGTACATGACAGCACAGAGATCCCTGGTGTTCCTCGAATCTGGATTTTGAATTTTTTGTCTTTATGTATAATGACTAGATTTGTGTTATTCCCTCATTCAAAAATCAATTAGAATAATTCTGTCCTTCTTCTAAGGAGTGTTATATCCCATTGGTGTGGCTTGTATCCTCTGGCGTGGTGCATGGGAACCATGCTCACGTGCTGTGGAGCCCCCAGCACAGAGTCACGCAATTTGCAGGAGCTGGTAGCACTTTTCAGCTGACAACACTGTAGAAATCTCCACAGAGATACAACAGAAAGTATATTAGCCTTTACTATTTGAATAAAATTCATCACAGTTATGAGTTGGTCTTGGGTTGTTGTATTATTCCCTTTAGTGTCTTACTCCCATTTCTGCTACTTTCTTACAGCAGAACACATGTTACTCATTAGTAGCATGGATGATATGGGAAACAAGAATGTTGAAATTGTATTGAATATGTTCCAGATGTTAGTATCAAACAAGGTTGGGTCTGCATTAAGATTTCCTTTAAAATATTCTTATTAATTGGAAGTGGAAAATAATTCAATACTAAACGATTCTCTAGAATTTTAAATTGACTAAACATTTGCCATCGTAAAACACATATGTAATAAGCTGTTCTTATAAAACTGCCTAACCTGCTTTCCATCTTCAAAAGGCTTTGCAGGCATTAAGCAACTAAAATTTGATTGTGGTAAGAGCCAGGATTTGCTAACAAGGTTAAATGGATACATGCTCCAAAGTTAAACAAAAGCCCAAGGATGGCTGTGTGTGCACACTTATATTCTCAGCAGAGAAGGGACTAAAGGCTTGTAGCTGCACTAGGATTTAGAAACTAGAAGATACTTTTGACTCTTTAAGTGCCAGTTTGATGGGGATGAGATGCAAGAGAGGATCTGTATGTGTTTGGAGCTGATGAGGCAATATTGATGCGTTAATTGGATGAACTGGCCCTTAAGCAGTGATGGTAGTGAATTTTGGCAGGATGTCGGTGTCGCTGATGTAGGTGAGGTTGGCAGGAACGGGGTGTGGGGCTGGAGCGGGAAGCTGGCAGAGCCTGATCCTGGTGTTTGTGAAGGGCAGAGCCGCAGAACAGTAAAGCCCAGGCAGGATGAGGCTGCGGTCTCATATTGGCTTTCAAATACAAGCAGGCAGTGCGGAGGTGATTAACAGTCAGATTAGTAGTGTCATAGAAAGGGCTTTCTGTTTGTTTTTTTCAGAAGTATGCATCTTGTAGGATTTAAACTACCTTGGGGAAGTAACTAGCTTTCCAGTCAGAGGAAGGCAGCAGGAAGGAAGGAAGATAAGCAGGAGGGGCCTGTGAGGGAGCCAAGAGAGCAGCTGATTCGGGAAGAGGAGAGCTCTTGCTGCTCCCACTGGAGTGACAGTGCCTCAGAGTGGCACCTACCTGTCTTTGACTGGGACAGATCTGCAGGTGCAGTAGGAAGTGCTGGAAAGAAATGCTGTTAATGAATGTTTAGCGAATAGCTCAGGCAGCACTGAGGTATGTGCAGTGTAAGAATAGACTAATATACAGCATAAATGGAGAGAAGGTGGCAGAAAGAACTGTCTTGTGCCATGTATAGGCTGAGCATCAGTGGACTTTGTGATCTAGAAGTAAGTTTTCCTTTTGCTTGGCACTACCTCCAGGCATGCAAGCATATACAGGGCATGGCACTACACCCAGTTTAGTGGTCAGGCAAATACGTGAATTTCAGTGCATGAAGATTGCTGTTTGGTACTGCCAGCACATTCAAGAGAAATAATGTTCATGAGAGTCTTGAGTTCCTAGGAAGGGTAGTATGGGCCGGGGACATAGCTACACAGGCACCTATGCGAAACTTGGCAAAAATACAACATCTGGAGTAACCTCTCTGTTATTTACCCCACCATCATTCCTTGTGTGTGGGCAGTCTTAATTTGGTGGAGCCAGCCTCCAGTAGATACTCTGATCGTTGGTTCAAATTTCAAGGGCTTTCTCTTGGTCACTCATGAGGCTGGTCTGAAAGCAACTCTACCAAATGCAGTAACTCCTCCAAAACATCGGTTTCTTATGCTGAGCGGCTTAGAGCAACTCTGTGCATCCCTTCCTTCAAAACAGAGCTGACAGAAGTGGCATGCCCCAGGCTGGTGGGGTACGAGCCAGCGCGTGTCTGGATGCTACGCAGCTGTACTGGTGTAAGAGTGGGCCTACGCCAGTAAGCCCTGCTTAAGACTGGTGCAGCCTCGTGGGCTCACTGCCATCAGAGTGATGGGGTTTCTGCAGGAGACCTGGCCTGCGTCCAGCCGGGACAGAGCACAGGCAGAGCGGGCATGCCTCAGTCTGCCCTTCGCTGTGCAGATAAGCTCGGCTGCACATGGTTATCCAGGATGCGAACTTCTGCTCCCTCCGGTCGTATTTCCATCTTTGACGTTGAGCTGAACAGAGGGCCTTCAAAGAAGAGCTTTCTTAATGTGCACTTGAGGTGCTGGCGAGGGAGGCAGTTACAGACAGCTTGAATGTACCAGTCGCTATCTTCTTCATGTGGATGAGTCCTTGTTAGGGGAAAATCCAGACATCTTCTCTAACGTAGCAAATTTGTACAGAATAAAGACCAGATGAAGGCTGGAGGGGAGGATTGGTAGATGTACTGCATGGAAATAGGCCTTCACAAGGGAATCCATCTGCTGAGAGGGAGATATTAGCTCTTTCCCCTGAACCCAGGCTAAGGAAAGCACACGTTTTTGTCAGCTACTCCATTTCTGTATTGTTCTGAGTCTTGCACCTTGTTCTTCATGTGTGTGTTGTGATAGAAGCATCTTAACAAATGTCAACTCCATTCTGATCTGCAAGAAACAATTCAGTGAACAAGCACTTCTTGGCTCTCAGTTTGTTCCCCAGCCCAAGAAATGCTTGTGGAGTTTAGAAATGCTTTTTGTGCAGGTTGTGTAATGCGGTCTGCTGCAGGACTTACACATCAGTGATTGGGCTAATTGATTAGTAGTAGGTTCTCTGATCTGGACTTGTACATCAGGAAAATGAGGCCTCTCTGCTGGCTGTGTTATTGTTACAAATCCTAAATATTTCTTCAACCGTTACAAAGGGCAACTCTTTCATAGGTTTTTGTTGGGCATGTTTTTTGAGTATCATTGCTTGGACTGGTTCCATTTTTATGCATATTCTTAAAAAGGAATGAACCCCCCCCCCCCAAATAAACCCCAAATCCTCTAAGCTGGTGGTCAGTACTACTATCAAGCTCCTCATACAGAGAGAAGAAAGTTTGTTTATCCTCTGTACCCCAAGCACAGGCATGTGTAATTTATGCCTTGAGCATTGCCTTTAACAAATATTCCTGTTCAGTGGGAGCTGGCAGGATATGTACTATGCTCTGGTGGGTTTCAGGAACGGCACCTTTGGCAGGACAAGGCACTCATGGCCTGAGGCACTGCAGAAATCTCCCTGTACTCAGGGGCTTTGCTTTTTCCAGATAAAGTCTGTTTTAAGATGGACTCTCTGACTCCTAAATGGCCAGCTGCTAACTGTATCTTGAGTGAACTGTCTTTTTAACCAGCAAAGTGTAGGTCAGTGTTAATATAATTAAACATACGTGTACACCAACATCAAATGATCTCTAGTGCTAAATAGCTGGATGTAGACTTCACAAAACCAGGCAGAGCTCTGCCATTTGATCAGTTGAGGATTTTCTTTCATTTTGAACTTTTTTCAAAAGAAGCATTTTACTTCAATTGCAGATGTACATTATCTAGAAAAAAAAAATCATAATCTTGTCTTTACCTTATATTCTCTTTTATGCCTTGCAGCCTCTGAACTGAGTGGTTCATGTGAGTCTCATTCTTATCTGAGTGGCTTTGGTGCAAATTAGGGGTTAAGTCAATTAGGTTCTCCTGTGACCTTCTGAATCAAAAACATATTGTATCTGTTACTGTCAGGGGTGGGTTTGAGCCATTTTTGAAAAGCAAGGCTGCTTTTCATAAATATTTGTCTTGCTTTAGTTTCCTGAGATACAGTTTAAATGTAAACTGCTCCGTATGTTTCGGCTTTTTTGCTATCTTGCTATATCACATCACACTGTCTCACGTCCTATATAAGAGTATGGCACTACATCATGCTGTGGTGATTATTTGAAAGGGCGTACACTCTGTTTTGGACTAGATATCTGTTATCAGTGTAGATAATTGCTGTCAGACACAAAATAGACTTAGTAAACAAACATTTCATTTTATCATGTGACAGTTGCCTGCTGTTTTGTACAATGTATTTGAACAACGTTCGCTATAAATCAGCACTGCTTCAAAAGCAACAAATCCAACTCACCCAAATCCTTCCTGATGTAATTACCTTTATACTAGAGATTAACTTTTCATTGTTTTATATACATGATAGCATTTTTCAATGTTTGGAGATAACAGTGTTTGACAGAAACAAATAATTCACATCTAAGACAAACCAATTCCTCCTACCACTATCACTGCTTTGTTTTTTCTCCTTTGGGGTTTTGTGGGTTTTTTTTGGCTTTTTTCCCCTCTTTTATCCTTGGTTTCCTCCCTGGTAAAGACAAGACTACCTTCAATTTTGGAATTCATACTTTAAATTTAGACTTTCAGAGAGAAATGAACCAATGAGTTAGCATATTCAGGAGAACTTAAAAGGGCAATGGAAATAAATGTCTTCATTTGATGGACAATGAACATGAAACCTCTGCTTGTATTCCCGTGGGTTTTGTGACCAAAAGGATGATCATTATTTGGCAGGTGCAGTCTATGTATTGCTTTTTTTCTCCAAATGATGTGCATCTGTGTCTTCCTCTGCAGGTCCTGTGCCTAGGAGTGAATGTGTCTTATTGCCTGTTAACAATTCGCACCCAGTCCATGCCTTATTGGAGAGTTTTACAGTCTTATCTGGCTGTGCAAGCCGAGGCACAACAGGCCTGCCTCAAGAGGTGCACGTCCTCAATCTCAGAAATCCCGAGGAGGGTCTTGGCCATCATGAAAGAGAGGTAAAGGGGAAATTACTTTTCATCCAAATCCCTGGCTACAAGTGTGTCTGCAAATGGGATCGTTCTACATTAATTTGCTGAGTAAAGTTATTTCTGAATTGTGACCAGAAAGACTACAAAGAAGCATGTGCAATTTGCATGGGTACTGTCCACCTATGCTTTGCATGTCATATTAGTAAACCACTTCCATACCCAGCCACTCTCTCCACCACCTTTCACAACCATGAATACTTAAAAAAGGTGGCGGGGTGGGCAAAGGAAATAAGAAACAGATGTAGGTCTACAACAGGCCTTTACAGAATTGGCTGTCTTCAAAAGCAGATCGTTTACCTAAATGTGTTGTAAATTAACATGAATACCTTTGGATCCCTGCCATGACCACTATAAACAAATATTTAAGTTCAGATTCTTTTACCCCTGTAATACATCCTTAATGCTTCATTGAGGGGGGACTGCTGTACAGAAAGCAAGTGTTGCTGACTATGGTAGTGCTTAAGTACAGTCCAATTACTTTTTTATGTATGTTGCACTCGAAGAGACACTGGCAAGAGCTTTAGCTGCTCTGAAAGCAACAGCACAAGAAGAAAATTTTTGATGCTAAGTTGTGCAGTACTGTTGTTTATTCTCAAAACACATCAAAACAGAGTGCAGAAGTGAAAAGAAAACATTGCATGCCATGACAGCTGAGCTTCATAGTTCGTGTTCTTACAGTATTACACACACAAATCCTTAGTACTGTGTCTTGTGAGAGCAACATGCATGTACACAATTAGCAGAATTTGTAATGAGAGAACAAAGATGATGACCTAGCAGGCGGAAGCTTAGAAAAAGAGGGTCTAAATCTGTGCTGAAAGAACTTTTAAGTGGAGTCTTTTATGGTGATTTAAATAAAGGCAGATACTCTTGGCCATAATCAAAGTCTTTCCACTGACTTCAATAGCAGCCTTGTTGGGTTTGTGGTATGTTCAGCTCAATGTGTATTGTATGCATCCGTAAGATTTCAGCTGTTGTATTCATTTTCTGTATGTATGCTGTCTGAAATGTCTAGTGTATGATGAAAAAATTATTTACTATTTTTTCAGTAGACATCTCATTGGCTGCCCTTAATCAAAAATGTCAGGTCATCTTCAGTGCAGTTGTCACGAAATGCACAGAGAAATTACACATTGGGAGGGGAGGGGAAGGGCTGGTAATGAGGAACAGAGATTTTTATATTTGTTTTGGTTTGGGGTTTTTGTTTTTTAAAGCCTTTCTTAGTTTGCTAGACACTGAGTTATCAGCCTGATGAGTGCACTGTGAATGCCTGAAGAAAGTGTAGGTACGATCAGTTCTCTGGGCATGAAAACCAAATTGTAGTTGGAATCTTTTTTTTTTTTTTTTTTTTTTTTTTTGTAACATAGTTTCTTATGTAAACTAAACAGCCTTATATGATTCTGCTATGAATGTGTCAGTGCCTCTCTCATTATCCAGGAACCTTTAAATCCATTGGCAAGTCATAGACAAATTTGGTACAAGAGGTAGATCTCACAAGGTAATCACAAATTTTGTTGAAAATGGGTAGAAGAGTGCCCTTGCTGTGGGGACATGATATAGTGGAAACTTGCAACTGCTTAGTTATTAAAAGGTGCCTGGGGATGGGATGAGGCAGGCTACAGCTGGAGCTTGTACCTCCCAAGAGACCAGAATGAATCAACTGCAAAGCACACATTTGCATAAAACCAAATTTCCCTCTGGTTCGATGCTCCTAGCACTACTTGCATAACAGTGCAGTTTCTGCAGTTGTGTGCACACACAACGTGAGCTAGAGTCACGCATGCACAAGGTTGCAGGCTGTGCCACTGCTGTCTAATTGTCTTGACAGAACGATAAAAGATTTAAATATTTGGCTTTGAATAAAAATAGTTGCTGTCTAGCAGAAAGAGGCTGCTTGTGCCTCCTCTAATGTGCTTATGGTAAGAAAACAGTTTGCCCCAAGCTGTCTTTTCTGTGTACTTCTGTGGTATACAAAAGTGTAGGGCACAGAATATATTTCACAATTTGTAGCCCTTAGCCTCCTTCTTCCATCTCCCAACGAGTTTCCAGTCACAGCCCTTGGAGATGGCTGCTCTAAAAATGCACAGGAAAGCTGGAGCAAGGCTTCCTGGCGACAGTGTTGAGCAAAAGAGTGTAAACAACTTGGAAAGATCAGATTTTACTTATAGGATCAGACTCGGAAAACAGAGCAAATGTTATCTTTTCCATTATTGTAAAAAACAACTCCAAGTGGCCTTTTGTCTTAAAGTAGAATGTACCCATCACCTCAAGTTACATTAGTTTGATTTACCAGCTGAGGTATTTCCTGTTGCCTGCAAATGCTGATAGCAAAGGTAGAGATCTGTTTGTCATGCAGCATTTCCAGTATACTCCAGAATAAAACCAGTATTTTTGTTTGACAGTACATTAGTTGGATTCAGCAGCATCGAAAGCATGTTTTAAAATAAGTCATGCATTCATTCGGAGGTTGGCTGAAGTTCTGATAACACAGAATGCAAGATCTGAAAATCTTTAAGTGAAGGCTTGCTTTGGGGGAGGAGGTCAGGTTTTGTTTTGTTTTCAACCTGCCCTGTGCTAGATGCTGCTAAATTACACATTCCTTACTTGCTGGGAGGAGTGTAAACTTCCCCCAGCAAATTCCTTGGAGGGCTCATGCATTAAACATACTCGTGCAGTTATCCTGGTTCTCATAAATATGCAACATACATGTATGCATTAGTTTAACTCACTTTGACACTTGTGTAGAATATGCAGACAACAAGTGTTCGCAAATTTAAACATAGCAGGGGGAGGGCACGGCAGGGGCATGTGTTCCTCCTGTAACACATGCAGGCTTTTGTAAAGATTAGTAAAGTTCGGGTGCTTTTTCTTCCCTGTAAACTGGAAAAGAAAAAAAAAGGTGGGCTGGAAATGTATGGGATTATGTATTCTGAACAAACTTTGCAAAACTAAGTCAGTAACTTAGCACTTTCCTGTTCAGGCTGAAATCTGGTAAATATAAGGTCATATTGTGAAATGCTGTAATCATATCTGTGATTTTCAAGGAATTTGTATTTACTTTGTTAATCCCTGTTGGGGTGACATCTCGTGTTGAGACTGTGAAGATACTTTCTTCAAGTAAGAACAAAAGTTCCAATCTTTTTCAAGTATTTCTTAGAAATGTCTTTTATCACAATTCATATTGGCCATGCTTTATCATAGGAAATAGAACACGGGTGCATGTAATAGTCACAAGTGTTTATATTGAACTTGGCATGAAAAATGCAAGCCTTTTTTGTTTGTTTTATTTGATCAAATATTCCTGGGGAAGTGAGTGAATGTGTGCTTTTCTGTACTGATCTGGGTCTCAGCTGAAAGCCAGGAACTACTGAACTCTTACAATAAATTTTTCTTCAGTTTTGGGTATCTTCACTGCTTCAGTTTCCCAGTTTTTAGAAAGGAGATAGTTGTTTTCTCATGAAGCTGCTTGTTCTGTTAACAGAAAGAATTGTTGTTTGTGGGGGCACTTGGAAACTCTAGAGATTTGCACCAGAAAAATGTGTATACAAAAATGTAAAAATTATTTTAAGATGAAAGTCACTCCTTAGGTATATTATCAAGTCCTAAATTAACGGAGGATTCTTTTATTGTAGCTGTCAGATGAATTTCCCTGAGCTGCTTCAGGCATGCAGCCACAATTGAAATAGGTAAAGGGGGAGCAGGGGCATATAAAATTAATCTCAAGTGAATACTTAGATTTGAATACATATGAATACATGGAATCAGAGTTCCTGGCAATGGATTCACTATTGTTTTCATTGACATCCTCATCCTCAATAGCTTTAAGATGTTATGCCTGATACAAATGTTTAACATGTTATGTGAAGTGAAGGCAGGAAAATCAAGGACTCATCTTTATTTTTATAATTTTGAGTAATGTCACTGAGGCTGTAATAATGTGACAGACTCTTTCCCCACTGTTTAGTCAGTATTGCTTGGCAAAAAAATCATAATAAAAAATATTTTCCTTTGAGAGCAAACCTGATATTAAAATGCCAGTTAGTTCCTGTGGAGCAGACTAATTGTAATAGCCAGGTACTTACTAGTGATGTATCTCGGGTTCCTGAGCTGACCCACTTAAAAGTCATAAAATGATGGGCAAAATTATTTAAGTCTAATATTTAGGTACTTTCTGAAGAGATCCTCTACATTGTAAAAATGGGACAGGAAGAGACTCTGAAACAGTCACCTAATAATGTATTTCTACATCCTGATATTTGAAGTGCATCCTGAATTCAGGATAGTTCTTCTATGTCACAATGTTTTTGTATTTTAGGACTAAAAAGATCTGGACAATAAGGGTGATGAAAACCTGGTTCATTTTGCCTATTTTTCTGCATATTTACTGTATTTCCCAGTGTGTTCATTTTAACTGTTTTCAGAAGTTTAACACCACAACAGCCTTACCCAAGGCTATGTCAGGGAAAAATGTTTTCTTTCAAGCTCGGGCATCCAGAGATCTGGGGACAGCCTTGAGATTCAGCTGTGATCAAGGGGCCGCTTTCCTGGCATGGTTTAAACATACTGACCTGCAGCACCAGAGCCATGGTCAGAGAGGGCCTGGAGGTCTTGCGCTGACAGCAGGCAGGAAAGGAGTTCAAGGTTTGTTACTTGATGGCTGGAGTTAGTGAATTTTTTGTTACCTAGTCATTTGTTTGGTTCCTTTTTGTTTATTTCTTCCTCTAAAAGTGCATTTGTTAAAACAAGTTTCCATTTAGTACCAGTCAAATGTCCACTTAAGCTGTTTTCTGAGACTTCAGGATCTCACGTATAGTAAAAATAAGGTCAGCTTCTTTTTCTACTGTGGGGTTTTAGTGCAGAGCTCTTGGTGTCAGCCTGACCAGCTGCTCTAAAACTGACAAGACAGGCTAGTTTGTTTTGAATTTTGAAGCACCCTGCAGCTTGGGTTTAATAGTCCAAATTGAAGT